TCGTCCTCGTCCTCGTCCTCGTCCTCGTCCTCGTCCTCGTCCTGTCCTGTCCTGTCCTGTCCTCTCTCTCCTCTTCCTCTCCTCTCTCTCTCTCCTCTCCTTCCTCTCCTCTCCTCTCCTCTCCTCTCCTCTCCTCTTCTCCTGCATCGTTCGGAGTTGCATCAACTCGCTTCGTCGATTTTGACAACCATCATCGCTCTTTATCATATGTTTGTCCCACATCCCCCCGCAACCCCGTACGGGTCCAGATCTGAGGCGGGTCGGTGATGACGTGAGGGAGCGAGCCAGGGAGCGAGCCAGGGAGCGAGCGAGTGGAGGAGGAGGGCGAGGAGGAGCGAGTAGTGGGAGGCTTGTTCCCGAGGAGACGACTGTCGAGGAGAGCTAGGAAGGCAGGCAGGGAGGGAGGCAACAAGGGAGGGAGGGAGGGAGCGGAAGTTGGAGCAAGGAGGGAGGCTCTAGCCTGTCAGACCTGCATGTAAGAAGGTAGGAAACGAACGAGGGGAATGAAATCCAGCAAGTCTCGGGGGTTCCAAGGAATCCTGGTGATATGCATCGTCGTCCTCCTCCTCCTCGCCAACCTCATGTGGATGAAGAAGGTGTGCTGTCAGCGAGAAAGTCCGTCAAACTCGCCCTCTCATCCCATTGCCTCCCAGGTTCAGTCGGACCAGGCCCTCCATGATGCAGAGAAGCGGATAGTTGACTTGTCTTCCAAGATCAAAGTTCTTCAAGGGTCGCTGTCTACCTCTCAGGTGCGTCCTGAGGCAGCTGGGCGCCTCTGACCTGCAGCAGGTGGAGCAGGAGACGGATCATTCGCGCGTCAAGACTCTGATGATGAGGATCAACGAGCTGGAGAGCAAGATGGGTATGCCGGCAGCCGCGTGCTCCTGCTCTGACTCATCTGCCAGGATTCTCGGGCGCCAAGGACACTAGCTCAGCGCTGCAAGGCTCGCCCAACGCGCCTCCTCCCAGCATGTGAGGACGCTTGAGGACGCTGATGCTGCCGTCATGCGCTGTATGCAGTGTGAAGGGATCAACGGCTGGGAGAGGAGAGAGCGAGAGCGAGAGGAGAGAGAAGAGGTAACGAGCGTTCGTCTCACGAGATGTCGTCATGACCGTGTCGGTGGTAGCAACGAGGTCAGTGCGAGCTTCCCCTCATCCGTCCAGCAGTCAGGTGGGACTTACCAAGTTTGACATGATCACGGGCGTCTTGCCTTGTTGGAGCGCGATGTTCATACTGCGGTATCAGCAGGAGGAGAGGAGGCTCAAGTCGTCCCCATCATTATCTTTGCGTGCTGCCGAGCCAAGTACCTCGACAGGTAGAGCTCTTGTCCCCCCCAGCGCACCTGAGAGCTCCTTGCTTCCAGGACCCTCAGCATTGTGTTGGAAAGACTTCCGAAGCAGAGCAAAGTCAAGTTTGACATCATCGTCTCCCAGGATGGTATCCTCCTCCTCCTCCTCCTCCTCCTCCTCCTCCTCCTCCTCCTCCTCCTCCTCCTCCTCCCCTCTCTCGCCTCTCCTCTCCTTATCCTTCTCGTTTTTCGCTTCCTCTCCTTCTCTTTCCGTCAAATTTCCTTTCTCTGCTCCCGTCTTTGCTTCTTTCTTCTCTTCTTCTCTGCTCTCCTCCTCTCCCTTCCTCCGATTTTCGCTTCCCTTCTTTTCCTTCCTTTCGCATGTCTCCTATCGCGTCCTGATGGAATATATCAAGGTAATGATCCATCTGTGAAGAGCCTGATGCACACCAAGTAAGAACAACCTTCCTTCAACCCACTCAACCTCTACACCTCCTCTCCTCAACCTTCCTCATCTCCCCCCACCCTCCTCTCACCCACAACTCTTCCCGTCTCTCCCCCTTCTCCCGCCTCTACTTTCTTCCTTCTCTTATCCTTCTTCTTCTTCTTCTACAAGTCACCTTCGACTGCTTGTTATTTCTCACCTACCTCCCCTCTGCCTCTTTTCTCCCTCCCTTCCTCCTGTCTGCCTCCTCCTCTGCGCTTCTTCTTCCTTCCTCGCACTTGTCGCATGCGAGCAGCGGACTGACTGGCGCAGGTATGCAAACATAAAGTTCTTGGAGCACATGGAGCAGGTGGACCTCAGCACAGCCGGTCCCCAAGAGCAGGTAGCAGCACGATTTCTAGTGGCTAGTTGACGAAGAAGCATGCCAAGTTGAGAATGAGAGAGGAAGAGAGTGGAGGGAGGATTGGGGTAAAGGAAAGAGGAAGAGAGAGGAGGGAGGATTGGGGTAAAGGAAAGAGGAAGAGAGAGGAGGGAGGGAGGGCAGGGGGGCAGGAGTAGAGGGAGAGGAGGGAGGAGGAGTGGGAGGAAGGAGATTGTTATTGACAGAGAGGATTTTAGTTTATTTTGTGTTTCTCCCTCAGCACAATGTCGTCACTAGTCATTTGCAGGCGAGTTACTATCGCATCGCCCAGCACTATGGCTGGTGCTTCAGCAAAGTGTTTGCGGACCAGGTGGGCCGAGAGCTGGAAGGGTTTGACAAATCTGACGTTAGATGGCCCAGAGATACGAGTGGGCGATCGTTCTTGAGGATGGTCAAAGTCGCACGTGCGAGATTCTCTTGCCTTTGACTCTTGACGGGCAGACTTGGAGGTCGCCGTTGACTTCTTCGAATACATGATGGCTGCTGCGGGCCCCCCCCCCCCCCTCCCCCCCTCGCTGCTGCTGCTGCTGCTGCTCCTCCTCCTCCTCCTCCTCTCCTCTACCCATCTCCTCTCCTCTTCTCACTTGTGTAACTCCCCGTCACATCTTCATGACCTGGTTGTCCTTAGAGCTTCTCAAGAAGGATCCTACTCTCTGGACTGCGACTGCCTGGAACGACAACGGCTTTCCCTCCTACTCTCATGTTGGTTCCTCCTGACTGTCCTGTACTCTCCTCCTCTACCCTCAACAATTCTTCGTCCTCCTCCACCCTCCTCTCTCATTGTTGCCTTTGCTACTCTTCTTTCACCACCACCTCCACACCAACCCTCCTCCCTCCTCCCTCCTCCCTCCTCCCTCCTCCCTCCTCCCTCCTCCCTTCTCCCTTCTCCCACTCGTCCTCATGCATTCACAGGATCCTCACAAACTTTATCGCTCCGATTTCTTCGGAGGACTGGGCTGGCTGCTCACCCGCAAGCTCTGGCAAGAGTTAGGACCCAAGGTCCTCCTCCTCCCCCCTCCTCCTCTCGCCTCCTCTGCCTCCTCCTCCTTTCTTTCTTCCTCCTCCGCCTCCTCCTCGGTTCCTCGTCCTGTGCTCCTCTCGCCCTTCTCTTCATTGTAATCTCTCTTCCCCTCTCCCTTCCTCGACTCTCTTCTTGTGCTTCTTCCTCCTAAAGTTCCTGCCTGCTCTCCTGCAGTGGCCTAAGGCGTACTGGGACGATTGGATGAGGTCAAAGCGCATGGAAGGAGAAGCAAGAGTAACTTGCACGCAGAGAGCCGAAGCAGAGGATGGGGAGAGCATGTATCCGACCACAGATCTCACGGACGGTGAGGAGGGGGAGGGGGAGGGGGAGGAGAGCAAGGAGGAGAAACAGGAGGATTTACAGAAGGAAAAGGAATGCAGGAGGATAAGGGGCCAGGGATTGACTGGATGGAGGGGGAGGGAGGGAGGGAGGGAGGGAGGGAGGGAGGGAGGGAGGGGAGGGAGGGAGGGAGGGAAAGATTTGATGTGTAGATATTTGTGGTTTCTGTTGAAATTTGAAGATCACAAGAAACTGCAGGTGACATTTGGAAAGGAAGGAACAAGTAACGGGCAGGTCAAGACTACAATGTCCCCCTTCCGCCCCTGCCCCTGCCCCTGCCCCTGCCCCTGCCCCTGCCCCTGCCCCTGCCCCTGCTCCTGCTCCCCTCTGCGCTCGCTTGACAGGCAGGTTTGCAGTTTTTCGATAGTCACCTATCAAAGATGGTCCTGAATTCCGTGGTAACTCTCATTGCAGCTCTCCCTCCTCCTTTGGCTCCTCCTCTTACTCCTCCTCTTGCTGCTGCTGCCCCTGCTCCTGCTCGTTTCTCTCCTTCCCCTGTGCTTCACACCCTCACTCTCCTTCCCCTGTTCACGTCCTCGTCTACTCTCTTCCTCTTCCTCCCTCCGACTCTCCCTCTTGATCTTGCCATCTCATCTCGTTCCTTCAGCATATCGCATGGACCACAAAAGATATCTCCTTCCTCCTCAAAGAAAACTACGACGAGCAGCTCAGGAGGCAGGTGGAGGAGGCCCCGCTAGTCGGCCTGCATGACTCTCGAGGTTCTCTCCTCCTCCTCCTCCCAGTTCTGCACACGCTCCTGCTCTGCCTCTGCCTCACCTCCTCCTCCTCCTCCTCCTCCTCCTCCTCCTCCTCCTCCTCCTCCTCCTCTTCCCCCCTTCTTCCTCCCCTTCCTGCTTCTCTAGATCTCATGAAAGCTGGGCAGCTACCGGCAAGATTTTCTACAAAGACCACCCGAGCTTCAAGGTTTTGGCGCAGAGT